TGTCACCTTGTAAATAACACGAGACCAGCTCAGAGGTTAAACACATAGAATTCCTGATTGCTCATTTTAATACAAATATGGCAGTAAGAGTGAATTTCAGATTAAAAATACTAACTTTAGGAATTACAATTCAGGAATATTTTGGCCAATTGCATTTAGAATGAGATAGATTCAAGCATTCATGACACTTCCTGTCCTCACGGTAGAAGAGATTTCAGGTTAACTGTCATTTACCACATATTATATTTCAGTTATAAGCTGATATTTTTGTAAGCAAAGGCTTAATGCCAAGCAGAAAGAAGTTTCTATTTTAAATATTCTTGAGGAAATAAATCCTTTTTGCCCTGCAAGTAAGAGAGGATACCTTTAAAAACAAAGCAGCCAAGTGGGTTTGGTCCTGGCAAATACTGTGTAAAGATCCATGATCTTTGCCCATCTGCATTTATTAATATATATAATTGAGTGGATATTGTGAAACACTTTGAAAATACATAGACAGGGTAACAAGGTGAATTACCAAGATTGTGGGCTTCGCTTTGACCTTTCAATAGACGAGATCTGGGACAAAGCTAAAGGAAGGAAAGGACCACACTGAGAGAAGGGAGAGGCAGAATGAATGGAAAGGCTCTGGTCTATGTCCAGAGCAATGTGCCAATCGAGAGCAGGGGAAATGGATGCTGAATTGCTGTGGCATTCGGTGAGCAGGGGCTTTGGGTTGCAACAGACCTGGGTTCAAATCCAGCCCACTCCATTTACCAGTGGCCGTAAGAGTCACTGAGCTTGTCCAAAACTCAGCATCTTTACGTATAACATGGAGGTAATAACATCTATGTCATAAGAGAAATGTATCAAAAAACATTATGTGTCTAGCAAATAGTATATCAATTAAATGTCAATTTCCTTTCATTCCTGAGGAGCGAAAAAGCTTTGCTTAAAAATAAATTTCAGTATGATTTGTTAAGTAGACATGATGGTACAATTAAAGGTAGATTGAACGCCATGAGGTAGATGAAATTGATTCCTGAAAAGTATGTTCATGAACATGTGTTATCTATTTATACCTATACCTGTATTGATAAATATACCTGCATGCTTATAATTTTGTAGATTTTTATTATAGGACCTCTTGTCCAACTGGCATAAGATTCTTACCCTACATATATTCCAATAGCAGCTTTATATTTGTACACACACATACAAATTTAACTAGACATACTGCTAAAAATCAACAAGCACAAAACACAGTTGGAAGTCTCTGTGTAATGACAAATAATGACCAAATTAGAAATTTTGAATTTGGACTACAAATATTAACTTTCAAAAACATCTCTACTGTTGCTAATTTTTAATAATTAGGTCCAATCCTTGTTGAAGCTTTTTAGGCTTTTTAGTGGTTGTTAAAATGCTAGCACTAACATAAATACTAATACTGGCACCAGGTACTCTTTGAAATAGGCATTATGCAGAATGCTTTGTATGGAAGATCTTGCTTGTCACAACAAGTCTCTAGAGTGGGTATTATTATGCTCATTTTACTGAAGAACCTAGGCTTCACATGATTAAGGGTCATTTCCAAAGTCACGCATCTCGTTGGCAGTAAAGGTTGGACTAAAACCCAGGTCTGACTGCTAAACCCACGCTTGTTCCTCTTTGCTCCTCTGCTTCTTAGAACATGAGTGCCATGTCAAAATTCCAACGCACAAACTACCCTTTTGGCTTCCCCATTTGAAAATACAGTTTGTATATACAAAATTTAATGATGTTTGGTGGGAGATTCTTTAGTCAATCATGCTGTAAGATGTATTATTGCTTGTTGTCTTGTGTACAAAGACAGGAGTAATCTGAGCTCAGAGAAGGCTGTCCAGGTAGAGGCTTCATCTTATTAACTCAAAATTGTATTGTCTATTTTGATCATGGCAATGATTCCATTTGGAATTCGTTTGATGTATTTCCTTGAAAAAGTTTTGTTGGGCTTTTATTGTTGCTGTTCTAGTGTCTACACAGAGCCAAGATATATAGTTCAGAGAAAAAAGAAAAAGAAATGAAACAGAGCCTTTGTCTTGCAACGAGTCTCAAAGATTTTTAAAAATTGCTTTAGCTCTTTTGGTATTATATAGACACTCCTAAAACACTGTGAAGACATTGACTAGATACTTGCTGAACCACAGGAGTAGATTCATGTACCTCCAAACGTTGGGGTTTCTGACGGCCCAGCTCTCAAAGGTCCCAAAGAGGAATCCAAGGACCTTATCCACACCAAAGCTGTCCAGTAGAATTTCTGCAATGATGGCAATGTTCTATATCTGTCTGTCTAATATAGTAAGACTAGCACATGTGGCTGTTGAACAGTTGAAATGTGGCTACTCAACTGAGCAGATACATTTTTTATTTTACTTCTTTTAAACAATTTAAATAATTTGAAAATAAATGGACATTTGTAGCCGTGGCTACTGTATTGGGCAGTGCAGCTCCAGACATTGGCAAGGATCTTATTCGAGGACGCTCAGTCTGAGTCAGCACTGGATGTAGCTCGCAGAGTTTTAGCGTTGACGTTGATCTGGGACCAAGTCAACTTAAAGGAATAAATGTTTGAGATGAGACAAACATGCAAACAAATAGTCATTTAACCATCCCAAAGGGAGCCACTATGATGAGAGAAAGTGACATCATAGAGAGCAATTACCTTTGGAAAACCAGTCCTCAGCAATGCAAAAATGTACGTATATAGGGAAAGAGCAATCATGAAAAATTCAATTAATAAAAACGGACATGACTATTCTGTGCTGAGAAACATCATCCTATTCTGTTTAATACCAAATATAACTCAAATTTTCTCCAGTATCTGAATTTTGGTAGCAATGAGATTATTTGCTGAATTTAAGCTATCTGGTTAAAAACAAAAACACAGACTATGTGCTTAATAAAGGAATGTCTCTCTCCAGTGGGCAAATTCTGTACAGTATTTTCTGAAGAAGGGTATCTGAGAGGAAGTCCAGTTCACAGTATGAGCTACAAAGTAAACAGTAGCATAGAAATGTCCTCTTATTCATTGTTGCTCTAAACACTTAGTCTCAATGTATTTCAATCTTCAGTGTTTCCACGTTTAACAGCTCTGCTCCGTCATTGCAGTCTGCCATCTGGTGCATGCAGCTTCTGCTCATCTAACTCCACACTGCAGCTACATGTCTCCATGAAAATGAATTTGCTTGTTGGCTTAATATGGGCAAACATTAAAACTGCCCCAACACTGCCTTGTTTTTTCTCAAGAAGTTCAATTTTCCTCTTAAGTTGCTTCATTAACAGAAACTGCATTGTTTGAAATAAATTTTTCTTCCGTAAGGAGTAAATAAAAAGTAAACCTGAAAGTTTTAATATATCTGTACACTGCTGACATTAGATACTCAGAGTTGGGCCAAGACTTGCTGGTCTCTGCATTCAGATTGAAAATAGCAAGCTCAAAGGGCATAAGGGTATAGCTCAGCTACTTACTGAATTTTTATTTATATAAATAAGACATCTGTTGCTAGAGGTTCAAAAGAGCCTGACCTCATTTGGATACCTTTTAGATCGGGCCAAGATGATACCTTCTCAACATTCCTTCCTGAGAAGAAGGGTACCTCAAAAACTGTAGTTCTCCCACCTGAATCCTGAATTTGGCATGTCTCCCTGCACTTTCTACAGTTCACTTGGCAGATGTATGTTCATGGCAAACTTGAAGATGCCAGATAAACAGGAGGCCATGTTTGTGCTTGGGCTATGGCTTATTGATGGCCGCTATGGTCCTTTTCAAGTTGGATGGATAATATTACCCGAGAGGCAGCATGGCTTTATTGGGATGGGTGGGTAAGAGCTGCTGCCTTCTTCACCTGGACTGGTCACAGCCAGAAGATGCTCTGTGAATAATCCTCTGGTCTCATGCTTTCCTTGGCAAAGGATCACAGGGCATAGTGATGAGAGGCCCTAAGCTACCTTTGTTCTAAACAACCATCCATTTTCTAAGCCAGTGCCCCCCAGGCAGTGCAGAGAAACACCTCACATATGTTGGCTAGATACAGAGAGTTTACTCTGGAAGGTCAGTAGCAACCAACTAGAGATGGCAGGCAGGTGGACAGCGAGGGACACACCCCCTTCTTGGAGTGGGGATGCATAACCGATAAACTGATCCTGGGATAGAGGCTGGACGTACACTGCATAAAAGACTGGTTTAAGCCAATGAATACTATATGGTGACGCACATGTGAAAAGAAAATAATTTATACCTAAAATATAAAATAAGGTGTTTTAAATATAAGTTTGTATTCTGATGCTATTTTTCTTTTACTACCATTTTTGCATCTACTATAAGGAAACTATATAAATAAAAACTTTTTCTGTTCTCAGAGAAATAGATTATTGCATAAAGTAGAACTGTCAATGTAAGGAGGGTATTTAACAAAAAAAGAAAAGAAAAGGCCTCAGACTGCTGGAAAATGGATGTGGGCACCAAACCCTACACAAAAAATGATGCCTAGAAAGTTCTGGAACACACTCCTGTGCTGTGTTAATTTGTTATGGTTCTTGTTTTGCTTTGCTTCTTCATTTGTTTGGAGCCCTAACATGCTCAACATTATGTTACTTGTTTCATCCTCTGGACTAACTGCACGGCTGGTCAGCATGACTGGAATAGGCTGAGAAAAAAGGGATGGCAACAGGAAGAAAATAATGCTCTGACCAGATAGATAAATTATTCTGGGGCTGGTTCCCTCAGCTGCTCCAGCTCAAGCAGGTAAAACCCAACTGCCTTAACCCAGAAGGCACCAGTACTCCCATGTTGAGAGGTACCTGAACTGTGGTGAACTGGTCTACCGAAGGCTATGGGAACCCTCTGAAAGGGTGGGCATAGTGTCTATGGTCTCTGTCGCAGCCTTTTCTCCAAAAGAAAAAGTAACGATAATAATAATGATGAAAAGGAACATTGTGTGCACATTTTATACATACCTATATATTTACTTTTCCTGTAGACTGTATACCACCAGTAAGAAAGAGTGTACAAAAGTCTGTTACTTGGTACACTATCCCACCAACAGTATAGCTTTTGACTGCTTTCTAAAAGGTAAGAAAACGATCTAATTTTTATTTGTTTATGTGTTGTTGTCTACACTAAGAATTAGAAATGTTTCCATGAAAACTGCATGATTGATTACCTGTCAATCTGTGTATATGAAGAAATGCATTTTCAAGGGAGATGAACTATTTGATAAGCTTAGTGCCAGAAGCTGCCATTGGTCACATTATTTTCTGGAGTGTATGTTTATGAGCGTGTGCACACTTGTCATTCCTGAACAACTAGCCAATGTTGCAAAGAATTGGTGCTGGTCACTCTGACACCTGCTCTACTTTATAACTACCACTGGTGAGAAACTATTTTTCAATCGGTGTTTTCCCACTCTGGTTTTAGAAGGCAATGTGGAAAACTTAGAGGGATTTTACAAGTTGAGTAAAAATGTTTGTGCTGATTTATTTTTATGAAATACATTCCAAGAAATGTACACATTCAAAAATTAATGATTGGCCTTATCGTCTTAAACCTAAGATTGTCTTGGTTCCTTCTTTGCAGCAAAGACATAGGAAAAAAGTTTACTGCCCGGGTTTGATAATGTGTTGGTGATGATGCATTCTGCCTTTGAGAAACATTGAACCGACTTCAGTCATTACACAGAAGCAGAGAAAGGGTCCCTGCAAGACTGCAAGTCTAAAGATGAGTTTCAACATTACTCAAACCCAGGAAATAGCAATACACACCAAGGGTATTCACACTAACAGCTTAGAGAAAGTGATGAATGGCGTGATGTGTGAACTGGCCACATGAATGGGCTGGCCTAAGAATAATAATCAAGCCACAGCTGATGCTTATATATTACTTTGGGCTCTCACCAAAGAATATATGCTCTGAAAGAATATTATTATCTCCCTATTTCAGCCTAAGCAACGTTATATTTATAATACAGTGCAAAACAACACTTGCTTTGGCAAGCGTCCTCATCTAGCTGGAGTTAAGGCTTTCCAAACGGTGGGAAAATAAATAGTAGAGAACATGGAATAAGTCATTAAAGACACATGGTGGCTTTGAATAAGAGGTTCCCTTTTGATTTCTTCTGAACCTCCTCTTGTACTTACAAAATAGAGAGACCTATCTCTAGAGAGATTCCAGGACAGTAAGCAGTGAGTTCATACCATGGGAGGGGAAAGTGTTGCTTAATAATGTGGGCTGGTCTTACTCTTCCCTGTGCCACTAACATGGGACATTTATCAGATCATTGCTGTTTCTTCCCATCTTTGTTTTTGTAATGGTATTCTGAACGCAAATAATATCTTGCTCTCTTTTTTTATCCATTTAGCAACTGTAAGACAGGACAAGAGTACTTTCAAAGAGTAATTACATTTCCTGTTGATTTTAGACGGATGCCAGCAACTCCGTCTTTAATTTAGGATGTATTGTTCACACAGTTACTTCCTTTTTCCATATCAACATGATCTGTCCTACTTTTTAAATAGGGCATTATTTTCTACCAGTGAATATATAACTGTATTCCAGTGAGACTTCAAGATTTTGCAGTACAAGTGCTTGTCAAAACACTGCAGCTCATCACTTTAATAGTCTTTTTACATGAGGCTGCCTGAGAATAAATGAGAAGGAATTTTCCCTGGGTAAAAATGGTAGATTTAATCTCAATCCATTAAAAATTCTCTTTTGCTCCTTTCTAAGTTGATGCCTTTTGGTTTAAAGGGAGTCAAATGAAAATATGAAAATATTTTTAGTCAATCTTACAGTTGAAAAGTACTTTCAGGATGTTCTGTTTAGAAATAAATTCAAACTTTTTGCTAAAATTATCTTGCTTCAGAGATTTTGATTAGACAAATTCCAATAGAGTAAGCAGTACAGGCCTATTATAGGAGGGGGGGAAATATTGCTTAATAATGTGGACTGCTCTCTCTTTTGCTTTTTTTTCCTATGCCGATATCATGGGACTTTTACCAATTCATGTTCTGTTTCTTTCCATCTTTGTTTCTGCAATGGCATTCTGAATACAAATAATATTTGTATTTGGTCTCCTTTTCTGAGCAATTTAAATATGGCTTTAAAAGTTAATAATAAACATCCTATATAACTACTTAAAAATAAGCAGGAATGGAAGTTGGTTTAAATTGTGTTAATTCAAAGAATATGTGATTCACCCGGTGCAGGTCTACAGTGAGATTGGTAAATTTGGGAGATCTGTGAAAGAAGTTGCTTAATGTTGTTTGTTCAAATCCATTGCTATGTGATTACTTAGGGAGACATGATAGTAAAGAGAAAACTATAAATTAAAGAGTAAACTTTTGTACTACCATGCTATTAAAACCTCAATTTCAGCCACCATGTCCCAACAAAGGTACAATATATACGACGAATCAAACATTTGCTTGTAGGGAGTTGAAGGATGCAGGTTCAAATTCAGACAGAACAAAACCTAACCTGATTTGAAAATATGTTCCGTATAATACCTGTGTTTAAAAGCATTCTCCTGTGAAAAACACTGTAGGCAAGATATCAGCAGAATCAATAATTCCTGCATCTTTTATCTGAATGTTTATAAATTTTAAGATTCTGCAAAGTGTTATCAATCTAATGAACATTTATTTAAAAATGCAATTCAGCAAAAAGAAAAATAAAGCACGCCTGCATCATCACCATGTCAGGAAACACGATTTGTTAGGAGGTCAATTTTTATACCATAGGCTGGTGTTCTGATTAAAAAATTGTAAAAGTCTTGCAAGTAAGGACATATAAAAGCCATGAGTCATTTTTTATAAGGTTTTGTTCTCATGAACAGGTATACATAATATTATTGACAACTCACTAATTTATTAAATGGTATTTAAAAATTAATAATCTCTTATTTCTTGTAGTTACTATAATGGGATTATTTGGAAATGTTAAGCTTTTTGGAATTGTGCAATGCAAGTTTTTGTATCATGTTCAGACTCTCCCTCTTTAACATTCAATGTGATATGTCTGTCTGATTGGAGACCTCCTCCTCCTAAAATCCACTTTGAAACACTCTATAAATATAGCATAGCAAAGAATATTTGTTATCTGACCTTTGACATCGAACCACCTTGGAATGAATGTAGCTATAAATCTTTTTGGCATATTTCTCTCTGTCTAAGAGCTCTGTGAACCACCATCATTTCTCTCATCAAGGTTTGATATCTCAGCATAACTTCAAAAACCAATTAATATTTGCCATCTTTATTCTGCAACTTGAGCTCAACTTAAAGAATGGGATGAAAGCTCACGTGGCTAGTATTTCTACCAGTTCTTTGCATAAAAGAAACTTACACATCATGCCTCAAAGTCACGGAAACTGTATCAAGTTTTACCTTTAAGTATTGTACTGCCCGATCTGGTCAAGATTTATGAACTATAAGAGTATTCTTAAATTGGGTCAATCAAAGACATGTTTGCTGAGCGCCTCTCCTCTGGGTCAGCCCTGAACTGATTAGAATGGGGGACAACTGTGGACGATGCCTTCAGGGAGCACAGATCGATGGAAGACGCCAAGGTGAGCAGTTCTGATTCAGGGTGAGAGCAGCTCTTCACAGAGGTGTGTACCAAGTGCTCCCAGGCTGTATTTGGAGAGCATCGCCCAGGAGGGCTTGTTTGAGCTGGTCTTAAAAGATGAAGGACTCCAGGCAGCCATACAAGAAAAGGCACGCAAGGTAGGGAGAAGTATGGACAAAGCACCTGGAGCACGGGAGAACGTGGTATGTTCTGGGACGAGACTGCGGTGCTGCAGGCTGGCGCCCCGGGGTTGTGGGAGGCAGTTTCAGGAGACAAAACGCAGGAAGCAGCCTGAGGGTGGAGGGGCTGAGTCTCCTTTATCTTTGTGCCTTTAGAACAAGGGCTGGAAAACACTAGGCTCTCAGAAAAACGTGTGGAGTGCGGAGAGCATTATACCTCACATACCGAAGACTCCTAGTCTTCCCTAGAACCTGGTAGGTACAGTAAATGTTTATAAGTGAATAATTATTTATGAATAATAAGAAAATATCACATGTCCAACCTCAAGAGGTAGAGTTACATGCTTTCAGATAAATCTTCTAAGGTCACAAAGACGACCCTAAAAAGGCAGTTTTTTACCCTGATGTCACAGGTTTTAAAAATTTGTTATAGTTTTTATGTGTAGCTCCTAAAACTGACATCAGCGTCTGGACTTGTGTAATCAACATCTCTTTTGATGCACTAAACCCACGTATAAAACCAAAGTTTATGCCTATTTCTTTTCTTTCATGGACTACAGCTATCTATACCATTTATTTTTCTTTCAGAGGGCACAGAAACTTGAAAGTTTTCCTCGGAAATGGATCCTAAGCACTCACTTTAAATAGTTCTAATTTGGTAAAAAACAAAAGCATAAACAATCAAATTGGTGATTTTCTAATTAAAGAGTGCATTTTCTTAGAGACTGCCATTAAGGATAGATTTTGTCTTTTAGGCCCCAAGTATCGTTTGTATGTATTTAAAAAAAAAAAAAAGTGTGTGTCCTGAACCAAAGTCAGTTAATCTCTGAAACATTTCTTCCCCCTAATCATTGTGAATGAGCATCTTCTCAATATTCAAGCGATGGTGACTCTTGTTTTCGCCTACTAAAGATGTATCTCAACTTTGCAGATTTTTTTTTTTTTTTTGGCTGTACAATGGAACTTGGATACATTTTAAATTAACTTTCTCTAGGAATCAAAGGTAATCATTATTTCTCTTTATGATCTACATGCCTATTCTCATTATTTCTTTCTTTTCAAGTTGAAGATTAGTTTTGAATTCCCTTTATATCTCTGCCCTCTTTCAGAGTAACCTCTGAGGACCTCAGCTTGCCCAAGGAGAACTGAGGAAACATCTCCAACGCTTGTTCTGCCTGAGCTGACCCAAACACTTAGAAGAGCGTGACGTGAATCAGCAACCCCACTTCCTGTGAGTGTTGGTCCGAGTATTGATTTTGACCTTGCATACACAATTCTTTTCTCTGGCCAGGAACAAGGAAAACTGGC